GAAGCTCAAATCCAGCCATCTCCCTTTCCCCGGACAGACCCAGCGAATCAGTCCCCTGCCTGAACTGTGATTCATGTGCTTGTGCCTTTAATAAACTCTTTGGACTTTTTCCCGAGTCTCCGTGTGTGTTCTGCATCTTGGGCTTACTCTCTGTGACACCCATCATGACACCCCCTGTCTGCTTTTCACCACCACAATCCACATCCAACGACTCCACCCCTCCCCCCTGCTTCACATCATGTCCTCCACAACATGAGGACCTCACCCCTCCTCCTACAGTTACCTCTACAGTGTCCTTCACTCCTGACCTGGTGAGAAGACAGCTAACCAGACTCCACTCCGGCAAAGCTGCGGGCCCCGATGGTGTATTCCCCTGGGTGCTCAAAGCTTGTTCCAACCAGCTGTGTGGATTATTTAGCATAGTCTTCCGTCTGAGCATGCTCCTCCAGAGAGTACCCTTGCTGTGGAAGACATCCTGCCTCGTTCCGCTGCCAAAGATGTTGTGCCCTAGCGACCCACAGGACTACAAACCGGTAGCACTGACGTCCCATATCATGAAGACCTTTGAAAGGCTAGTCCTGGAGCAGCTAAGGCCCATGGTCAGGCCCTTAACTGATCCACTACAGTTCGCCTGCACTCAAAGAAATAATTTGTTGAATGAACTTAAAAAAATCATGGAAATCATTTCCACACAATTAAATGAATCTTTTTCTACAATAAATTAGTTGTTTCAACCCAATATACTTCATTCAGGTCAACTTAAGTTATTTGAGTTTGTTCTACTTAATTTTTTCTTTCTAGCTTGACTTGATTAAATTATGTCTGCTTAACTCGCACCAGTTTGATTTAAATTAATACTTTGAGTAAAGTCAACTTAATTTGCATAGGTAAAATCAACTCAAAAAAATTGTGTAATCTAAATTCATTAAAATCAAGTTAAAAATACTTATCTTAATAGAATCAGACTAAAACATAGCAAATATGTTTGATTAACCTTGATACATTAGGTTGACCTAAACCAAGAATATTTGGTTTAAGAAACTAAAATGTTTAATGTTGAAAATTAATTAATTAATTAATT